ATATATATATATATATAATGAATAAAACAAACTCGCCATCAAAATGGAATGATCGATAATCCTTGCAATCTCGATTCAAAACAGATCATATATTCGCTTCGATCCTCGATGAATTCATATCATTTTTCTTTATTTTTAACCCTTAAGTAGTCTTGCGATCAAATGCAGGATTAAACAAATTTTAAGATTAAACAAATATTCTTATATCAATTCCAAATTAATTATTTTGAGTCATTCTCTGTCTAACAGAGAGTGACTTAAGTAGAGAGTGTAAGTATATTGAATAATTGACAAGCGAAATGTTAAAACGAGGAGAATTAAGAGAATCCGGTAGGGACAATGACGACAAAAAAGAGTGAAACATGAGAAGAATGACAGATCAGACTTTTAAAAAAGCATAGTGTTACATGTTCTGTGAAAAGAAATCCAACACTACCAACACTGATACCAAGAGTAAAATTAAATGTGACTGTTAAAAGCTTGAATTACACGGACAAAGTTAGCAACCTATTCCAACGCGACCAATCAAGGGTTAAACTGCATTTCGTTACCGTATCATTCACACAGTCACCCATTCTCTCTTTCTCTCTCTCTCATTTTCTCGAAGATTTGTCGCTACGGCGGTGCAGATCACCCACTGAGCACGTTGCGCACGAGACGACGAAGGAGGACGAGAGTCGTGCATTCACTCGCGCTGCAGTATCTCCTGATTCAGGAAAATAGACAAAGCGTTCAGACAGTCTGACTCTCTCGCATGGAGCGTTCCAAAGCGGCCGTTCGTTTCTGTCAGAATGAATTTAATGAGAGCTGAGACACAGACCTGTCCTCAAAAGTGAGAAGAGTAGCTCATGGCTATCTTTCCTTTCTTTCTCTCTTTCTCTCAGAATCGATGGATATTTTTAACTATTCTCGCTACTGAGTTGCAGACGATTATGCGAGATACTTCGCTTCTTCTACGACCTCTAAGCAATAATCTTTTTTTTTTTGTTCAGAATAGAACAGTTATATAGAATTGTTGAATGTTTCAGCTGCGAAATGTTCGACGCGATTCTTCGAGAAGCGATAAAGAATATCGCGAAGCGTAAATCATGCTGACGTGTACACTTCACGCACATATTTTTACATTTCGTCAGTCCTGATAAAGTATTTGTTTATTTTTTAATAAAAATGCCTGCCGTAGCGTAACGAGAATACGCCACAAAGAATACGCACCATCGACACGTTTGTCATATGAGTGATCTCGATGTGACACATCTCGAGAATAATATCGACAATGGCATTTTCGAGCGCGTGCTTTTATCTCATTTTTAGGAAATGAAATTCAGCTTGGGACGCTCCATGCGGATCACGATTAGTCGGTTTATCCTGGAAAATCCTGCAATACTTAAGGGGACGTTAAAAGGACTTGAAGATGCAATTCAATAAGTTTTTATGATACGTCGCACTCTACCTTTAATAATTACGGTAAGCCTCGGTCACTCGGGGAGAACACGTTTAAATAATTCGATCAATCGGCCACTGACGATCGCAAACTTACCATCTCGTATAAATCGTCTGTTCATGAATATAGCGGTAGCAATAGACAATCATGATAGTATTATTATGATGTGATAAGAGACTACAAAAACATGTCAATCAAATTATAGCAATAAAATTATAATTTAAGTAAAATTGCCTTGTAAATAAAAATTTATATACTCGTATAATACGGAATCACATTAATAAAAATATAGAATTATTGAAATAAAAAAAACATATGAAAAGGATATTCTTCACAAAATAAATTTTTCTCTTCAAAAACTCAATTTTGTAATTCCTCTCCTGTGTTACTGATTTCATGGAAGTATATTAAATATAAAATAAATTTATAAATTTATACGATGTGTCAGCATGATTCTCCATTGCCTCAGCTGTATCTTGTGTCCGATCGGTCAACGAAATGAATTAGGACTTACCATCTCAGTCGTGAGACTCGCTAGGGCCTCCTCCACAGTGGCCGCGATCCTTCCACCGTCATCCTGACGTTGATTACCCTTGATTGGCGTGGTTGGGCAACCTAAAATTATCGTTAATCGTCATCGTGCAAAAAATATCATTGGTCCTCGTAAATTACCATTAACGGAAGACAAGAGGTATCTCGAGCGATAGTGTAATCTCCAAATTAGTTCTATATTCGTAATTGCATAAAATTAAGAAATTTTAAAATATGTATTTGTCACAGTGCAAAATATTACACGAGACATATGCATAGCATTTGTATAAATGATTTTAAATGAAAAGTGATTCAAAATTTGTGCCTTTTTTTCGAGATTTTGCAATTTTGAGGCGAAACGTGAAATGTGCATTTAAGAAACTGTGTTGTCTATACATAAGAAGAAGCGTGTGAACTAATTGCGTAGGTCAATAGTAGAGAAGATAAAAAAAATATAGACAAAGATCAAAACTTATCTGCTAGAAGTCCTAAGAAATTTTCAAAAATCAGAAAACGTATACAAATGAAAATAGAAAAATAAAATCAACATGTAGAGGATTCAATGAAGAGTGACGAAGAAGTGAAATTTCGCGTTTTCGTATTTTTTTTTCCTTTATTGTCTCTTTCATAGTTATCAGGTATTTTAACAAAGCTTTATTTAAATTAGCTACACAGGACTAGACAGAACAATAATGTTGATTGATTATAGAATATATAATCGAATGAAAATATTTTCGCATTTGACTAACACTCTTGAAGCATAATCGATATTACACAACAATAATATTAGTTACAATAACATTAAAGTTAAACATTTATTTTTAATTGTTGCATTCATATATTTTAGGTATGTATATTTCGAGACAATTATGTCATATTATTTTAATTTCAAAAAATCTGCTTTCCTTTTTTAAAAAAAATGTTATAACAATAAATAAAAATCATAATACATATAATTTGAAAATTGATGAAAACAATGTATGTAATATATTAAAAAATAAGATGTTTAGTGTTTAGAAAAATTAAATTTTTTTCATAAGCTAAACATTCAATACATACTATTCAAGTGTCCAATAACTCTACAATATTAACAAGATAGAAAGATTCTTTCATGATTGTCAATGTTGTTGACTCTGTTACATCATTCAATTTATATCAATCAGAAATAAAAAAAAGCTTATAAAAAAGTTTCAGATTCATAGAATCAATGTAATATAATTCTAGAAAAGTAAGTCGCTTTCCTAATATATATATATATATATCTTTCTCACAAAAAGGCAACTATCTAAAAAATCACTTAGAAAGTTTAGAAGATCTACGTTAACACTCGATAGTTAAACAACAGCGAGAATCAATATAATGTCTATGTTTATTCTCGCACGAGCAACTCCTCGTTGGAGTGTTCGAAGGGGAAGAGAGAGGAGGCATCAGCAGAAGAAGCCGAGAAGTCCTTATGGTAGTATCCTTTAGGAGCCATAGTAGATGTTCAACGCGTAGAGCAACTTACCTATGTCGCCACTGCTGGAGCTCTCGGTGAAGGATGGCGTGCCTTCGGTCCACGTTGGCGTCGAGCCCTCAGCACTTCCGGCCGGTGGGGTCCATGTGAGACCGCCGCCACCTCGACTGCTGCTGCCGCCACTCTCGACACTCAGTGACGACTTGGTTTCCCTGCCGCCACTGCCACTACCGCTACCGCTGCTCTCCAAATGCACGTCCGATATGCTGAGAATAAATTCGTTCGTCATGTTTAAGCCTCAGCCGATAAGCTGAGGGAATCGAATAATCATGTGTGATTAAATTAAAATCAAATACTAACATTCTCCTTTTCCTGAGGTTGCCGTAATAAAGCAAAGAAAAAATGATGTTTAGATGCGTGCAAAGTGCGAAGACAAGCATAAAATATATTTCAGGCTAAATATAGATAATATAAAAAAAATTCAAGCAGTGTAAAGACGTATCTCTGTGTACATGTTTTATTAATTGCATCTGATCGTCAATCTATTCTTAGTTGCATGCATCACTGAAATTATTATTTTATACTAAATTTATTAGCTATCTTTAATTTATTCATGTGAAAAAATGATAAATAATATTATTCTGTTGATTTTATTACTGGTTGAGAATTGAGGTACTTCAAAATTATCAATGAATAGTAATTGGCAGAAGAGTGTACTCACCTTACAGTGTCGTGATACGTCTTGGTGAGAGTAACGTGATGAACAACCTTATTTTGTTTGGAATGAGTAGAGAACAGATTGCTCGTAAGAATAGGAGTTGCGCCGCTTTGCTGAAGGTGACCACCAGAAGCCAACGTTTGGTCGTTCGAGTGGACTGCATCATCAAAGGGCGGGGGCGGGGTGGAGCAGGTGGAAGGAAGGGTGCCACCTACAAAAAGCGCGCTACAATTAGCCCTAATTAATACAATTAAATGCTGAAATAATAGGTAAGAGTGGAATGGCAAAGGATCGCTGAGATAAGAGATCCGTTTACAATATTTACACTAATAATAATCACATCTATATATGCTTACAAAAAACGACTGGCAGAAAATTATGATTTACTTCTTGAATTGCGATTTTAGTATTTTAGGATAAATATATTTCTCACTTTCTCTTTTTATATTTCAATTTCTCTTTTTTGAAAAGTACTAATATATTTTTTTGTATTTGCAAAAAAAGTTGAAAGATTTGGGAACATTTTTCATAACATTATATTGACTTGTATATGTTAATTTGTTGACAACTTGATTATTATTAAAAGAAAAATTCATCATATAAGATGGTATAAAGTTAATATCTATCATTTGTTAATTTTATATATTTATGCAAATTCATAAAGATTAATTCAACAAATACTCCAAATTATAAACCATCCTATATGTGAATTTAGCTGTACAATTTCTGATTAATCAAAATTTTTAACATGTGCATTTAAAATAGTGATGATATTTTTTCTAATTCCACAATGAATTAATTCTTCTGCCCGTCTGTATATGAATATAATTGAGGAAGTTTAGGATAAATAACTTTTAATATTTAATACAAAGAGAAAGATAAAGAAGATACAAAGAGGAAGATAATTATAAAATTTCCAAGGGCGATTGTATATACGCAGCGAAAAAACTATGCAGAGCAAAATTTCCAACATTTCTAAGAAGGCAAGCTAGCAAAATTTGATGAACCAAATTTTAAGAGTCGCGATAATATCATTTATCTAAGAATATTGCATTTTTAAAAATGTTGAAAATGTCAATATAAAGCATTTATTTCAAAAGTGATAGAAGCAAGACAAGTATTAAAGTATTTCACTTATACATATTTATGAAAGTACAACATAAAATTTATATTATTAACTATTTAATTAAATTTAATTAAAGTATGCAGAATAGATTCAATTTTATACGTTACTACATCATCAATGTGTTTCGTATAAACATCCTTTTATGTTACATGAGATAAATTACTACTAAACAATTTATTAAACTTCAGGACAAGTCGATTAAATACAATACGATTAGGAGGTAAATAAACGCAATTAAATGGGTGGATATCAGATTACACGAAATAAATTAGCAACAAAAGCAAAAGAGATATTGTTCTGAGAATAATAACGCGTATAAGTAAAATTTTATTTCCTGTAAAACACATTGCGTTTATTCACTCGTCATTGGTGGCAATGAAATTCTATGCATGCAGTTTCTAACAAAACTCGAACGATACTTGAGCTAATAGAAACATCAATCAATCATATAACTTTATACAATAAGCAGGGAGAACTCGACAACGATTTTTGTTATACATAAATGATACCTCGTCGATGTCTTAAATCGACTGACATTGAAACGTCGCAGACGTGGAAAAGAGATAGTAAGATATTAGTTCAACACAAATTACTCTCTTCTATTAATAACGATAGTCGAACATTTAATGGTAAACATAGCACATCATCTTCGCTAATCCTGATGATTATCGAAAATAAAATACTGTTATCATAATCTGAGACATGAGACGACGATATGCAAAAAATAATTGTCAAAACGTATGCTTTGTCATGCAATAATGATACAAAAGAGATCAAAACATTTTACGTCATAAGTATTCAGTGAAGAAAGATGAAAGCTGTAGTTTTTTCTTCATAAAGTTGGAAGCTGCGAATCTCTTTTATAAGATTATAAATTCGGAAAGAAATTTTGTATACTATCGTTTACGCAGTTGACAATCGTCATCAGTTGGATAACATCAAGATTTATCGTTATTAATACCTTTATAAATCGCTTTGCTAAAATTAGCAACCAAGAAATTTATGTCTTTATGTAAACGATCGCATCTTTCGATAAGTATGTAAAAAGGAAACATTCGGTTTTAACATTCCAAACTCTGAATTAAACGACGATAAATCGTCGCAATGGCCACTCGAAAGAGACTTAAATGTTTGTCTCTTGTTAACATCGGTATTAATTAATCTTCCTTTCAATACGATTTTTTCTTCTTGATTTAATCGAATTTCATTAACCGGCAGTGTAAATTTTTGTTTAATAGCGTTAATTTCATTTCCATAGTTCAAATTATCCAAGTGCACTTCTCGCCGAGCATCCTTCGTTTTATCTCTCATATCCATTTTAATCTTCTCAAAGTTCTTCACTCTTTCGAAAACGGAACGTTTTAGAACATCGCTATTCCTATTTCGAATATCGTCGAAACAGGAAGATATGAATTCTTCTCTCTTGATTGTACTCAGCAATTTATCTCGGTTCACAACTTTCGAATTGGTCTTCTTAATATCAAATGAAGATTCTTCTTCACAAAAATAGGAATTTCCATTGTAGCTTTTACAGTCGGATTTCGGAGATTCGTTTTTATATTTTTTAAATCTCTCATTAGCCTGTCGATTGAATTTACTAATCCCTTCATGAACTATCCTATCTTCTATGTTTTCAGCTTTACCACGATAACTATTTGCAAAAATTCCTTTGAATCCACCTCTATTATTTATTTGTTCATCATTTATATTCTTAGAGATAATCTTCTTCTTATCAAGATAGTTATTATCTCTGCCAGAAGGGCAATTCTGTTTCGTTTCATCACAACTGATTGCCGATTCCTTCCTTTTGCTTATAAAATCTGTGTCATTTTTATTGCTTTTCTCCTGAATCTGATAATCACTTTTATTTCCTAGAGAACTCATTTTCAAAGACAATTTTTCATTTTCTTTTTTTGCACCTGTTTTCTCATTTTCAGCTAAATTTCCATTAAAAGTTTCCCTTTTAGATGTTCGTTTCTTCATCGACGGTTCCGGCGCAAGTCGTTTCCTTCTCTTAGATTTTTCTCGAATTTTTTGCAGCAAAATACTATCTTTTTTAACTGACGCGAATTTTAAGATTTTTTGCTTATAATTAGTCCATTCTTCAGCAGCCTCCAGCCTATAAGATGTATGCATATGATGCGTTCTCGCATCTTCCACTGGCTTACGAAGATGCGATACTGTCGTGATCGTTGTGATAGACGCTTCAAGATTCTTGTGCTTTCTCTTTACTCTCTCATAATATGTCTCAGAATATTTCTTGTCCTTACGCGACATCTTGTAATTCATGAGATCAGCTCGAGAGCTTGGATTTAAAGAGTATGTAAACTTCGCTAGATGATCCGTCTTGGTGTCGCCTTTTTTTTCTTTATCTTTCTTTGAGACTTTATAATTATCGTTATCCGTTTCATTGAAGTCTTTCAAGCGATTGGATCGACGAATTCCTCTATCTGGTCTGAGAGGGTGCAGACTAGTCTTAATAAAATAAGCGTCCTCTATCTTCACCACGCTGATAAATTCTTCCTCATCCTCGTCGAGTTCTTGAGTGTGCCAATGCTGAATCGAGTCCATCGGTCGAATCCGTCCGGCTTCTCCACCGACACGATCGCGATGAGTGACGCGGCAAGTATTGGATGTTGATGTATGAGCATGCAACGCATTCGAGGTCGCGGAAGTAGTTTTAATAGAAGTAGCAGCAGTGATAGTAGAGGCCACGGTTTTAGCGGTGGTGATAGAAGTAGAAGTACAGGAATGGTCAGATAGGAGCGAATGGTGCAGGTCGCACGAACTGTCATGCAAGCGATATCTCGTGATTATGGCTGCTTCATCACCTCGGCTGGAAGTCACCGACGACGACGTCGAGGCGGCGGTGCTGGCCGCCCGGTGATCCTCGGAGGACCTGGCGGTCCTCGAGGCGCCCGTGCCCCGCGGTGGCACTGGAGGTGGGATCTTGCCGGACGGCACCAGGTTCGGGTTCGGCGGACTGGCCGCGCTTCTACCCTTCAGTACGGCCGGGTAACTCGTAACCTTGACCGTGGGGGCGGCCCCGGGCGGATGCTCGTGATGTGGACCTTGACCAGCGGCTAAGGTCAATGGGGGCGGACTCAGCGGACCGGCGGCAAGGTTAACCGGGGTGGAGGTGGCAATCGGCACCGAGGCCGCCACGTTCGTTGCGCTGATCGCAGGATCGGGCGGGCTAACTGCTGCCGTGGTCGTTCAAGGTAGTTCGAGGCCATCCAAGGGTTCAACGAGGAAAGTCGCGTATGCCGCGTCGCGATGGCGCGGGATGGGAAGACAGAGAGAAAGACAGGAGAAAAGAGAGAAACAGAGAAGCCGGATGAGAGAAGTCGAATGATTGGAGAACCGTGCAACGTCGATTCTTTTCTGACTGGTTCGTTTTACGAGAGTGGTCCGCGAGTGCAACAGCAATATTTTATACATATCGCGATTTATCATAATATATATATGTTTGTAATTAAAAAGAAATTCCAAGTACCAATGTAATATGTGAAGTTCACTTTATCCTATGATTATTACATAATGATATAATAAATAAAATCTCTTTGGTAACATTTTCGCGATTCACAAATGCGTCGAATTTACGTTGCACAGTTCAAAACAATTACTTGCAATTCTAATTAAAGCGATAAATGACACATGATTTATAACAAATATTGTTGCAATACGGAGTTAATTAAATTATTTTCAATTCATTAACTTTCATCTTTAATTTTAAATACACTCAATTTTAAATAGATCAGATAGAGAACAATTTATACACGAATTCTTAAAATTTTTCTCACATTTATTGTAATTTCTTTTTGAACAAAGAAAATACGATATATTCACGTTTTTCGAGTGTAATACCGTTGTAAAAGATAATGGTACATTTTCGCGACATCGCGACGCAATCTTGAAAATGGTTTCACATGATACACAATAAACAACTGTACATTACGAGAGTAAGTGATTGTATAAGACTCACCGGCCTTTGTAGGTGATGTAGCATGCATTGTCGAACCTCCAGTTGCCGCCACCGCTAAACCACCATATAACACCATGTACCATTACCGTATTGTGATACGTATCCAGCTCTTAATCGGACAGAGAAACTCATCACGGATTTCGAGAGTACCCGAAAACGCCGAAGCCATTCATCAGTGCCGAAAGCGCGTTACAAGCACAAGATGTCTTAGCAATTTATTAGCAATATATTGATTAAACATTGGAAATATATTGGAACAATATTTAGGCAATATTGTGCCAATAATTGATTAAGATAATCTTATATTCGGCGTTATGAAATCTCTTTGCCGTAGGGTTTGAAACGATGCGAGGCAGCAACGACAGAGTTATCGAATGCATAAAAAATATGTGTTTCATATTCGATCCAATTCCGATTCGATAAAATTGTAGGAGTTATTTTCGCATGTCTATAGCATCAAAATCGAACGATTCTGCGATTGTCATTCAAACCCTGCTTCATCATTGGGTTCGCAACGTTCCTTCAAGCGTTTTATTTGCAGCGAAGCACGATAAAAGCAAACCCCATCGAAATCGCGGTTCCAGTTTCTCTGTCACATCTCGTTGGCCGATAGAGTCCCGAGGCAGAACCCGAGGATTCAAACGAGGGACGTTTATGTGGC